GCCATCATCTGCTCCTTCCCATGGTACACTTTAGCAGCAAGCTGGATTGAAAGCAGAGATGAGACTAGATCCCTGGCTCTCCCATATGCAATGCAGTTATCCCAAGCGGCAGCTGAATCCACAGTACAACACCCACCCCTATAAATTTCTTACATAAAACAACTTTGAAAGAAATCTTTGCTCATGTTGTCTTTCATCTTGCTTCAATTTTTTAAGATAGTACTACAGAAAAACAGTTTAAACATAAAAAAAAAAAAAAATAACCCTACTAAGGAGCAGAAGTTTAGCTTAGCGGTTACAACACCTATATTCCTGATCAGAGTACCAAGGTCTGATTTCCAGCTCTGGCTCCTGACTCCAGTTTCCTGCCAAAGAAAACCCTAGAAGGTCGTGGTGATTGTTCAAGTAACTGAATTTCTGCTGCAAAAAAAAAAAAAGCTTCTAGCTTTTGTCCTGGCCCTGCTGCTCCAACCCCTTCCCAGCCATCACCATTGTAGGCACCTGGGGAAGGAACCAGCAGGTAAGAGCTCTGTCTGTCTCTCTGCTTCTCAAATAAAAATTTTTAGAAAGAATCCTTTTGATATGTCATCTTCTAATAATATCCTGCTTAAGTAACTTTAAAATATTTCATATAAATATCCAATTTATATTTCATTTAATTACACTGCACCTGACATCTTTTTCCAGGCCATGAAAAACAGATAAAATCCAACATATATGGAAATAAACAAAAAGATAGGAGCACCTTTAAAACCTGGGTAAGTCACACTGAAACTTGGGAACCTACAAAGAAGCAGGCTGCATAAGCCCAGCACTGCACCGCACCCTCCAGTGTCACTGCTGTGACACGTCCTCCTTTGTGGTTTATACAAGCAATCACTTTCCCCTTCACAGACACCAGAATCGAGCTCCCTGAAAATGGCCTGGCAAGTTCCCCTTCAGTGTTGTGGGGGTTTCTGATTAATTAATTAATTAATTTGAAAGGCAGAGTCACAGAAAGAGAGATGGTTCCAATGGTTCACTCTCCAAATGGCAGCAACAGCCAAGGCCAAAGCCAAGAGCCAGGAAATCCATCAGGGTCTCCCACATGGGTGCAGAGCCCCAAGCACTTGGGCCATCTTCACCTGCTTTCCCAGGTACATTAGCAGGGAGCTGGATAAGAAGTTGAGTGGCCAGGAATCAAACCCAGTGCTTACGGGATACCAGATAGTAGTTTAATCCACTATGCCACAGCAACCCCCCAAAATCTTTTCCTCAGGCTACAATCACCACAATAATTTACCATTATAGTGACTCTCAACTCAACAGAACAGATGTGTACATTCAAGATAACCTAAGATATTTTAAAAATTATAGATGGATCTGCATTAAAAAGTTTGCCTAAGTTATCATAATTAACTTTAAATTGTGTTTTAAAATTGTGAAACGGATGTCTAACACATTCGGTAGGTGACCACTTAGAATGCCTGCATCCTATATTGGAGAGGCCCAGGACCTACTGTTGCACATCCTGGAGACAGCAGATGATGGCTCAAGTATATAGGTCCTTGCCTACTGTACAGGAGACCTGGATGGAGTTCCAGGCTCCTGGCTTCAGCCTGGCCCTGCCTCAGCTATTGCAGGCATTTGGGGAGCAAACCAGCAGATGGAAGTGCATGCTCTCTCATATTCTTGCTCTCTTTGCCTTTGGAGTGAAGTGAAAATAAATTTTTAAAAGGTTTTTAATTATATGTGATCTTTCTAAAATTTTCCTAGAAAGCAGATGCTGAAAAGTTTGCAATGGTTACAATACCATGCCAAATGGAAAATTCAACAAATGTGTGAATCTGAAAAAGTTATAATTCACTAATACTTAAAAATACTCACAATGCAAATATTTACTAACATTTGGTTAACTGACTTGTATATCAGGCAAAAAATCCCTTCCCTAAGTGATATGAGTAAAATTAATTGTAATAAGTAATTAAAACTAAATTATAATAGAGATAACAGATTTGAGTTCTGCATTATTTGTGGGACCATGATTAAGTCACAATCTCTCTGAATCTTGGTTTCTTCATCTACATACGTGTTACTCTTCCAATTCCAAAATCCTGTGTTCTAATCTTCTATTACATACTTCATTACCTTTGACCCTTGATCATTCTAACAATTTGGGATAAGATTTATATCATATATGATACAGAATTATTTGGGAGAACGTTATTTGTAATAAATTGGATCAGGGTTTCAGCATCAGCACTACACACTTTTTTTAATATTAATTAATTAATTTATTTATTTGAAAGAGTTACGAGAAGAGAGGGAGAGAGAAAAAAAGAGAGAGATGTTCAATCCACTGGTTCACTCCCCAAGTGGCAGCAAAGGCCAGGGCTGAGCCAGGCAGATGCTATGAGCCAGGAGTTTCATCTGGGTCTCCCACATGGGTGGCAAGGGCCCAAGCACTTTGGCCACCTTCTGGTGCTTTTCCCAGGCCATTAGGAGGAAGCTGGATCAGAAGTGGAGCAGCCAGGACACAAACCAGCATGCATATGGGATGCCGGCATCACAGGAAGTGGCTTCACCCTCTATGTCCCAATGCCAGCCACCAGCACTACTAACATTTAGGATTGACTCATTTATTCATTTGAAAGGAAAAGTAACAGGGGCCAGCACTGTGGCATAGTGGGTAAAGCCACCACCTGCAGTGCCAGCATCTCATATGGGCACCTATGGGCGCCAGTTCAAGTCCTGGCTGCTCCACTTCCGATCCAGCTCTCTGTTATGGCCTGGAAAAGCAGTAGAAGACGGCCAAAGTCCTTAGGGTTCTGCACCCAAATGGGAGACCAGGAAGAAGCTCCTGGTTCCTGGCTCCTGGCTTCAGATCAGCACAGTTCTGGCCATTATGGTCATCTGAGCAGTGAACCAGTGGATGGAAGACCTCTCTTTCTCTCTGCCTCTGCCTCTCTGTAACTCTGCCTTTCAAATAAATCAATAAATCTTAAAAAAAATAAAAAAAAAGTAACAGTACACATACACACACACACAGATAACTTCTATTCACTGGTTCATTCCCCATATGCTCAAAACATCCAGGCATAGACCAGGTCAAAGCCAGGAGCTAAGAACTCCATCTGGGTCTCCCACATGAGTGGCAGAGGCCCAAGTACTTGAGCTGTCATCTGCTGCCTCCCAGGAGCATTAGAAGGAAGACGGATGGCACACAGAATAGCCGGGACTCAACTAGGCACTTCATAATGTGATGCAGGTGTCCCAAGCAACTGCGTAACCCACTGCACCACCATGCCACCCAGCAACACTGAAATTTCACACTGGACCATTTCTTTGTATGGGAGCTATCAAGTGCACTATAGGATGCTTAGCATCTACCCACTAGAAGCAGTGTGACAACTAAAAAATGTCTACAGATGTTGCCAAAATCACCTCTGGTTTGAACACTGTCGTATTAAAAACTTCAAGGGTACTTTAAAGTACTTTAAAAACTTCAAAGGTACTTTAAAGATGGGAAAGAGAAAGAAATAATATGTGTGTGTTTTGTAATGCAGGAGGAAAAGCTAGAAATGGTTTCTAACAAAACAAAAAGATCCAACTGCAATTCATATACCATAAAAAGAGAAGGTTCCTTTCTGTATGAAGTCTACTGAAAAATATTAACCAAATATTGTTTAGTGTGGCTAGTGCAATAATAATGAGAACAGTATATAAAGCTGTGTGGGAAATCCACAGGAATTCCATCCATACCTTGAAAAGCATCCTCAATAAAAAGGTGCAAAGGTTTTAAGGAAATTAATGAAGTTAACATAATTCCTCTTCTCTCTAGCATTTGCAAGGAGGCTAAACATCTCAAGTTGCTGGCTATTCTCTAACCAGAGGATACCCACATAAAAAACACAGCCACCCACAGTTAAATACCAGAGGCATCTATTTTAATCAAATGTAAATGTGGTATAAATCCCATTAAAAGTAACATGGAGGAATATCCTCAAACTCTTTATGTTTTTAAAAAGAAATCCTGTGCAGAGAAATCACATTTCAACGTTAACATTTCAATGTTAAACATTCCCACATTCACTTTTTAGCTCTTTAATACTCACTATAAAATTAACTGAGCCATATTTTCCACCAAACAGACAAATACCCAGTTTCCTTAGTCTATTCTTGGATAGGTCATCAGACTGGGAATAAGAGACCCAGAGTCTATTCCCAGCTGCAAAACAGACTGGTAATCTCAAGCAAATTATTCACTCAGGTTAAGGTTCTACGCCCGTATCATGCTGACAATATTGAAAATCTGCCCAGAAACAAGCACACAGAAACCCAGGACTACCTCCCGTACCCAAAGGACAACTGCAAACGTATTTTTAGATTTATTAAATCTAAAAATCTGAATAGGATTTTATTTATAGCAACATTTAACATACTTGAAATTTCAAAACTCTGTGGTATCTTTATCATGGCTCTCTATAAAATTAGTAAGAAATGTTCTTTTTAAATCAATTTTGCAAAATCTGTATGGAAACCAAACAAATCATAGCTATTATGTAAAACAAAAACTTTTAAAATCAAGCTTTGGGAAGACCTTCAACTTTTGCATTTCCTAACTCTAACTTTTGTTCTAGTATACAAGTAGTTCTCTCCTGGCACTATCAAAAAAAAAAAAAAAGTGCTTTGCATAGTCTGGAGAGCAAAAGTTTGCCCCACAGCCTAATTCCGGAAAGGCCTTGGGATTGCTCTCACCACCAAGTATGTAGATTTACTAGTGCAACCAACATAAGGATATGGATATCTGTTGCTCTTGATACCCAGTTTAAAAAAAAAAAAAAACTGTCTAATAGACCAAGTTACCGGCCCACAGCCTGTAAACACAATGCAGCGCATTAGCAGAGGTTTTGTCAAAGCAGGGTTAGGAGCGACAGGCAGGGTGCAATGGCCTGCGGCGTCCTGCTCCCATCCCGACCCCCCTCAGGCAGACACTTGTTAGCCACCCAGAAGCCACTCACGAAGTTCCCCATCTCATGGAGGTAAGCGGCCCACAGGCTGCGCCAGCGGGCCCGACCCGGAAGACGCGGTGTCAGGGAGGCAGGGCCGCCGCAGGGGCCCCACCGCGCCAGCCACCGCGGCAGGAAAAGCCCCGGCCGGTGCGCGCTCCGCCGCCTCCCGGCGCTCGGGTGCAAGCACGCGCGCGTCCACACTCCCAGCCACACACACACAACAAAAGGAAGCCGTGGGAGCCGCGTGCCGGGTCGGCTGGGCAGCTCGGCCCCAGCCCCTCCCCCGACCCGCGCCGCGCGCGCGCCCCAGGGCCTGCTCCGTTAGCGGAGCGCCCCCGAGGGGCCCGAGCGTGCGCATGGACCGGACTGGGAGGCCCGGGGCGCCGCGGGGCTTCGCGCCAGTGGGGGCTTTCCACGCAGCTGCACCGGCTGGGAGCGGACCCATCAGAGAAATGCTGCCAGTGCGGCTGCTCCCATCGGCCTCGGCTCCAAAAGCCCAAGGAACATATGCGGGCTCCCCACTTCCTGGGTTTCTTAAATAAAACAATTACACTTAATTACCCTAGGTAAAAATTCACTCCCTTACAAACCACGGTCTGTTTAAGCTCCTTTCCCTACCGAGCCAGTAATGAAAAGCAGTAGCCAGCATAACACCCCAGAATGCAGCCCCTTAATATCACACAGCCTTATCAATTAAAGGCCTTTCAGTAACCTCTGCCTTAATCCTTCCTCTGCCTTCTCCTCACCTGATGCATTTTAACTTTTCCATTGTTTGCTATTCACATAAGAGCTGTATTTCCCCCAAAAGTCTTCCCAAGGCCATCATTCCATTCCACTTTTTTTAAGTTTATTTTTCTAATAGTAACAAGCTTCGTAAATCCCTTCCATAGCACCTCTCACTCAGCTATTCCAAATCTCTGCAACTAACCTCTAGAATTTTCATCAGCTCTAACCACATCAATTCATACAAAATCTCAAACACTGCATTTCTGTCTGTGTCCTTATTCCCTAAAAGCTAACCCTTCCCACTTTAACAAACAAATCTGCCCCCAAAGTGCCCTCAAATTTTGTGAAACTATTCCAGAGAGGCCACCAGTCGCTGAAAAATCCATTTCTTATACATGCCTCCAATAACTTGACAACAATCTTTCCAAATATTCTCTAACAATTCATTTGAATACCCCTAACTACCAGGGCTTTTCCCCTAAGGACTAATTATACAACCTAATCAGATGGATGCAATCTCTCTGCCACTCTACCGACACATACAACTGTGTTCTAATTGACAAAAACATATATATTGGACCCTGCAGAACATAATTGCCCAGTCATTCTAATCTCTTAGATATTGGCTCTTCTCCTTTTTATAAGAAAAACTCCACACCAGCCTAGATTTTCAAGTATCCAACCCCCATCTTCTGAAGTCATTTATCTATGTCAAACTATCATAGTTATCACTTACAACATGCCTCTCTCCATTTCTATTATAATCGTTCCCAACATCTTCCTTAAAATATCCCATCATTAGCCTAACCCACACATGCATCCACACATAATACATCCCCACTCCACCAGAACCAAGTGCATCTGAGGCAGATCCTGGAAACCATTCTAGGGCAATCAGGCAGCACTGCTGCGTTCTATAGCCACATGTCTGAAGTTGGGCCTTCCTACACTAGCAAAACTCTGGATCTCTATGGAAACTTCCTTATTAAATTTGGTGAAGGACTAGATGCAGAAGAGGAGAAAGTGATGAATGCCCCAGGGCTAGATGCTGGAACTAATTCTGAAGCAAAGCTACACAAGATGGAACGCCAATACTATGCATTTTGTGCCTTGTCATATTTTGGTCACTCTGACTTCAAGTTTCTGCATTAAACATGTTTTCTCTTTCTCTATGTAAAACTTCAAAAACTCTGATCTGAACAGAGAGAATAGGAAAGTACTCTTTGCTGAGAGCTTCAAAGAGTTATGTGAGGGGTATAATGCAAGTACAAGAAGTTTGAAGCATTTGGTCTGTTAATGGTTTAAAAATGTTAGTTGCTGGCACCACAGTAAGGCACTGATGGACAAACCCAAAAACCACTGTTGGAGCCAACACTGTGGTGTGGTAGGCTAAGTCTCCACTTTCAGCACCAGTTCGTGTCCCAGCTGCTCCACTTCTGATCCAGCTCTCTGCTATGGCCTGGGAAACCAGTGGAAGATGGCCCAAGTGCTTGGGCCCCTGCACCCACGTGGGAAACCCAGAAAAAGTTCCTGGCTCCTGGCTTCGGATCAGCCCAGCACCAGCCACTGCGGCCGTTTGAGGAGTGAACCAACAGATGGAAGACCTTTCTCTCTATCTCTCCTCTCTGTGGCTCTACCTCTCAAATAAATAAATAAATAAAATCTTTTTAAAAAGAAAAACAACAACACTGTTATTGGGCCAGTGTTGTTGCATAGTGGGTTAAGTCATCGCCTGCAACATCAGCATCCCATATGAGCACTAGTTGGAGTCCTAGATGCTACACTTCCAATCCAGCTCCCTGCTAATGTGCCTAGGAAGGCAGGACAAGACGACCCAAATGCTTAGGCCCCTGCCCCCACATGGGAGACACAGATGGAGTTCCTAGCTCCCAGCCTCAGCCTGGCCAGTCCTGGCCACTGCAGACATTTGAGGGGTTAACCAGCAGATTTAATATCAGTTAACCAGTAGATCTTTCTCTGTCTCTCCTGCTCTCTCTCTCTTGTTCGCTCGCTCTTTCTCTGTAACTCTGCCTTTCAAGTAAATAAATATATATATATATATATTTTTTTTTTTTAAAGAAAAGTGAACAACCACTGTCAGGTAAGCACTTGAGAATCAAGTATTTAGTATAAGGAAAGAAGTGATGGAAAACAAAGATTGACAAAATACAAATACTGGTATTAGAACTGGACAAAGTTTGGGAACAGAAACAAAAGCCAAAGAATAAAGGGCTTGGTCCATCAATGAAGGTAACTAAATGGAAGATGAGAAAAGTTTTAAACCCTAAGATTCTAATGCTCAAGACAAAATGCCAAAGTTTCAGTTTTGAGTAAATTTTGTTTTTGGGATTGGTAATACATCTCCTTTAGAGACGCTCAATAAAAGATAAATAAGAGGGGTCAACGCTGTGGTATAGTAGGCAAAGCTACTGCCTGCTGTGCCAGCATTCCATATGAGTGCAGGTTGGAGACCCAGCTGCTCCTCTTCCAATCAAGCTCTCCACTATAGCCTGGGAAAACAGTAGAAGATGGCCCAAGTCCTTGGGCCCCTGCATCCACGTAGGGAACCCAGAGGAAGCTCCTGGCTCCTGATCAGCCCAGCCCTGGCTGTTGCAGTCATCTGGGGAGGGAAACCGCAGATGGAAGACTCACGTTTTCTACCTCTCTCTGCAGCTCTTTCAAATAAATAAATAATTCTTAAAGAAAATAAGAACTAAAAAAAAAAACAAGAAATCATATCTGTAACTGCATATCTTTCCATGGGTAATAAATGAAACAGAAGACAGGGCAGGCCGGCGCCGTGGCTCAGTAGGCTAATCCTCCGCCTAGCGGCGCCGGCACACCGGGTTCTAGTCCCGGTCGGGGCGCCGGATTCTGTCCCGGTTGCCCCTCTTCCAGGCCAGCCCTCTGCTGTGGCCAGGGAGTGCAGTGGAGGATGGCCCAAGTGCTTGGGCCCTGCACCCCATGGGAGACCAGGAAAAGCACCTGGCTCCTGGCTCCTGCCATCGGATCAGCGCGGTGCGCAGGCCGCAGCGCGCCGGCCTTGGCGGCCATTGGAGGGTGAACCAACGGCAAAAGGAAGACCTTTCTCTCTGTTTCTCTCTCTCACTGTCCACTCTGCCTGTCGAAAAAAAAAAAAAGAGAAGACAGGGCAAACAGGCCATCTTAGATACTTAGGACATGTCCTCCCTATCATTCGCCCCGTTCTTCCCACTTTTTACCTGAACCACTCATGCACAGTAGCTAATCCCAGCCAGTGTGTTTTCCCCACATCTGCTCTGCTACAAGGTACTTCCCCCTCTTCACCTTACTCTTATTCACATTCAGGTCACTGCCAACCTCCTCATTCACTTCCAGTGTATCTATTTGCTGGCTTCTATCAACTTGTCTATGTTCTATTGCCAACAATCTGCCCCAAATCTTTTACCTTTCACCTCTACCTCAGTTTTTTCTATTGTCTAATTTTAATTTACAAATATGTCTCAACTGAATTTATATTTTCATTATATTAAAGTTATGATTTTCCAAAAATTACTTATTTTATAAAGAAAGCCAAAGAATAATATATCTAACAATTCTATTTCCCTCGAATACCACAAAAATCTGGATCAGTATCACCTCTTGCCTGGACTGTAACCACCTCCTCATCTTCACTCTAGTTTGGCTTTTCCTGGAGAACACACTCTCTCATAAATCAGCAATATCCTTCTCCATCTCCTCCAGCTTGACAGAGGACTGGCTGAGTCTGGCTCCCCAAGGCCATGCCCATTGTTAGTCAAGCAATTTTTAAAAAATGCTCTGTAGGTACCTCACTGAAGTCATTCATTCATTTCTGCAACATCTACCAAGCTCCAGAATACCCTCCTATTTTCCTTCCCCAGTAACTTCAACTCTACACTATCTCATATTCAGCCATGATTCTCAATGAAACCATCATGCTGCCCTACATCCTGCCCTTCCTCAGCTCCCAAAACCTTCACCTGCACTTCAGCTAGCCACATGGGAGGACACTGGCCAGCAACTGCAAGTGAGTAATACCAGGGTTCATGGCAGCTTCCAAGAGCACCTCCCCTTTTTTTTAGCCATAATCACTTTATACTCCATTTGGCTTCATTTGTCTCCCTCACAACTGAAACCTGTCCCTCAGCCTTTTTAACACTACACTGTCCAGAACATGACCTCCCATTGCACTCACTCTGCTTCTCCCCACCATCTATTTTCTCCACATCCACACACCAGGTATTAAGCACCACCAAAAAGCCACAAAATCTTCCACAGTAGATTTATTCCAGATACAACTCTCCTTGTCACTGAGTTATCCAAATCATTTACATATTCAAATCTTTAATCTCATTAAACTCAATCCCTCCCATAAGATTCCCTCAAAGCATACCTTCTCCACCTGTAATCAAGTCCTCTTTACAGCTTCTAAAATGCTGCATCTGCCTACTTCTTGCCTCCAATTCTGAAATGAGTTGTTCCTTCTTACACTAAACTTCTTGATTCTTACCCTTGTCGCTTCTTGTATTCTTCTAACTTACTCAGTATAGCCACATGCACTCTGGTCTTTGAAATCCTCTCTTGAAGATCATAACCAAAAACAAAAACAAAAAAACTCTGTATACCAAAGCCTATGACCCAACACTTAGTCCTTATCTACTCTCTGGCAGCAACACTTGAACTATCAACCCTGGCTCAGGCAGGCAGGTGATTCTACTCTCTGCTCATTCTTGCACGTGATTCTACTCCCATTTCTCTGGTTGCTTCTTCTGTCTCCAAAGACTACCACTCCTCTTTGTAACCCAAACTGTGGTATTTCCCCAATTTCTGTCCTCAACCTTTCTATAACTCTCCCCCTCAGGAACTCATCTCTTACCATTGCTTCCACATTTTCCTTCTGCATATGGCTATCTTCCCCTAACTCCCAAAAATAATCTTTAAACCATCACCCTCTGCTACAATCCTGAGGAATGAGAACATATACATACTTGAAACTAGATTCTTCAACTTATGCTTTAATTAACACTTAAGTCAGTCCTAATAGTTTCATAACCATCAGCAAGCACTCTATCACCCAGAATTAGCAGCTTCAATGATCAACTTTGCGTATTTCCAAATCTCCACTGGACCTCTTTCCTCAGCTCCAATCCAGTATTTTTACCTCCGACTATATAAATACCCCTGTACACTCCCAGTGGTGCCTGATACACTGGTCAATATGTCTTAGCATACCAAAATAGTTCTGCTGCCTGATTTCAGTAATTTCTGTTAATGGCAGTCACCCAGCTTAAAAACCCTAGAAGCTTCCCTTAAGGGTTCTTTCCCTCCATTTTCCCAAAAGCCCACATGCTGTCAAATTCTTCCATTCCTTCTTTCTTTGAGGTATTTTTACATCTGTCCCTTGCCTTTTACTTGTACTACCACAATCTCAACTTAGATTTTCAATATTTCACCCTTTTGCCACAGCCTTCTAACTTTTGACTCCCCAAGTCACCAAGTTCTCTTCATTACCAAAAGGGAAAAAAAAAGTCATCAATGTAATATTGTTTTCCTTAAAGTTTTTTGGGGGGATTTGGGGAAGTTTTTATTCATTTTTAAGAGGCAGAGAGCTCTCATTCTCTGGTTCACTCCCCCCAAGCTTTTTTTTTTTTTTTTTTTTTTTTTTTTTTTTTTGACAGGCAGAGTGGACAGCGAGAGAGAGAGAGAGAGAGAGAGAAAGGTCTTCCTTTGCCGTTGGTTCACCCTCCAATGGCCGCCATGTCTGGCACGCTGCGGCCGGCGCACCGCGCTGATCCGAAGGCAGGAGCCAGGTACTTATCCTGGTCTCCCATGGGGTGCAGGGCCCAAGCACCTGGGCCATCCTCCACTGCACTCCCAGGCCACAGCAGAGAGCTGGCCTGGAAGAGGGGCAACCGGGACAGAATCCAGTGCCCCGACCGGGACTAGAACCCGGTGTGCTGGCGCCGCAAGGCAGAGGATTAGCCTAGTGAGCCACGGCGCCGGCCTCCCCCAAAGCTTTGAAATGGCTGGCCAGGGGTTGAAGCAGGGAGCCAAAGACAATCCAGGTCTCCCATGTGAACAGCAGGAACATAATTACTTGGGCCATTCCTGCTACCTCCCAGGGTCCACATTAGCAGGGAGTTGGAATCAGGAGAGCCAGGAAACTGAACTGAGACACTCCAATGTGAGATGTAGGCATCTTAACCTACAGATTAACTGCCAGGCCAAGCACCTGTCCACAGGATCATATTCTTTGGTTGTGTGTTTGTTTCAGGATCATATTCTTTGGTTTTTTAAGATTTATTCATTGGGGTAGGTGCTTTGGTGCAGCGGGTGAAGCTGCCATCTGCAGTGCAGGCATTCCATATGGGTGCTGGTTCAACTCGTGGCTGCTCCACTTTGGATTCAGCTCCGTTAATGCACCTGGGAAAGCAGCAGAGGATCAGCCCAAATGCTTGGGTCCCTGCACTCACGTGGGAGTGCTCCTGGCTCCTGGCTCCTGGCTTCAGCCTGGCCCAGTCCTGGCCATTGCAGCTTTAGAGAATGAATCAGCAGATGGAAGATCTCTGTTTTTCCATATCTCTGTCTCTGTCTCTTTCTATTTCTATCTCTCTCTCTCTCTCCAGCTCTGCCTTTCAAATAAATAATTTTTTTAAAAAGATTATTTGTTTGAAAGGTAGAGTCACGGAGTAAGAGAGGAAAAGACAAAGATATCTTCCACATGCTGCTTCACTCCCCAAATGGCCATGGGAGCTACAACTGGACCAGGCTGAAGCCATGAGTCTCCATTTGGGTCTCATGTGGGTGGTAGAGACCCAAGCACTGGGGCCATTTTCTGATGTTTTCCAAGGCAATTCGCAAGGAGCTAGATCAGAAGGACTGGAACTGGTGCCCATATGGGATGCCGACATTGCAGGCAATGGCTTAACCTGCTGTACCAAAATGCCAGTCTAAACATTCTTTGCTTTTTAATGTTTATTTATTCATTTTTATTTACTTGAAAGGCAGAACAACAGAGAGAGAGAGAGAGATCTTTCATCCGCTGGTTCTCTCCTCAAATGCCCCCAACAGCTGGGGTTGGGCCAAGACAAAACCTGGAGCTCCATCAGAGTCTCCAGCAGAGATTCGGCACTTGAACCATCATCTGCTGCCTTTGAGGCCCCTAAGCAGGAAGCTCAATTGGAAATAGAGGCAAAGGCAGGACTTGATCCCAGGCCACTGTGATAGGGGATGCAGGCATCCCAAACAGGACTTAACTCACTGAGTCACACCGCCCGCCACCAGATCAGTTTTCTTAAGCACCTTCTTTTCTTTTTGTTTTAAAGATTTTATTTATTTGAAACATAGAGTTACAGAGAGAGAGGTGGGAAGAGACAGAGAGACAGAGATCTTCCATCCACTGGTTCACTCCCCAACTTTATCTGGGTCTCCAACATGACTGGGGGGGCCCAAGCACTTGGACCTGCTGCTGCTGCTTTCTCAGGCACAACAGCCGGGAGTTGCATGAGAAGTGGAGCAGCTGGGATACAAACCAGAGCTCATATGGGATGCCACTGTTGCCAAGTGGCAGCTCAAGCCATTATACCACAAGCCAGTCCCCTTAAGCACTTTCTTATTTACCCACTCCAAAATCATTACTGGCAGCCAGCGCTTAAGTGGTGGTGCAGTGTTAAGGTTAACACCCTGGCCTGAAGCGTCGGCATCCCATATGGACGCTGGTTCAAGACCCGGCTGATCCACT